CTTGTTATTATAGAAAAAATAAAGAAATATGTTGTTCTTATATTTTTGTCCAGTACTGTATGTAATTATTTTACTTTGTGGAACTTCAATAATTCTTGCACGATAAAATTTATTATCTTTATATTTAGCTATACAATAATCACCACGTTTCCATGATGATAATGCATTTGTAATAGGAGTTTTTGAATAGAATTTACTAATAAAAATTAAAACATTTAAAAAACAAATATAAATTTATTAGATCAAAATTTACTTGATTTCTTCATGTAATTCTTCATATTGTTGTTGAAAATGTGGTAATTGAAGAAAAAATGCTGATGGATGATCAATATGTGAAACAAATGCTTGTTCATAACATTTCTTTCCCAAAACAGGAGTACGACGGATACGTACTGAAAACATTGAAATATAAATAAATAATCAATAGTTCACACAAATATTTATGTTTCTACAAAGTAAATCCATCGAAATTATTGTGTGAAACTTAATCGAGTAAATTTTTTCTCTTGTAAACAACAGAGTTTCAGCACTTTAAGGGTACCCCCCCCCCCCTCTTTTTTGACCCAAAACTCGATTTTGAGCTGAGCCCAAGATATGATAGCCTGAGGTGCCATGTGCAGCTAGAGACATTATTCGACTCAAAATGTCTTACTTTTACCTGTTTATTAGATCGAGAAAATGTTTTTTTTCATAGTAATCGTATGTAAATTTTTTTCTTTTATTTAGCGTTCTGTAAAACAGCGATTTTCTAGATCTTGACTGCTTACAACCCCCTTTTTAGTTTGTCCGATCGAGCTGAAAATTTCACGACTAATACTTCGAAGTATTCTCCAGAGTTAGAATCAAGCGTTTTCATTTTTGACGTTCCTACTCGGAGTTACCGGGTCGTGAAAGTCAAGATCTGAAGCACAAACTCAATTCTGGGCGTATTTTTCTTATAAAAAAAGAAGAAAGTGAGATTTTTGGAAATCCTTCAATTTACCTCTGGGGAATAGTGTTAGGCATCTATAAACAAAATTTCAGCCCAATCAGACAAACTTTAAGGGAGGTCGTAATGTGTCAGGATGCGAACCTCTGGAAAACCAGAATTTTCTGGAAAATCCCATAAAAAGTTATTTAAAATTTTTTTCCTCGGACACATATCTCTTTATTTTTAGTGCTCTATCTGTGCTAAAAATTTCAGCTTGATCGGTTGTACCATCTTCGAGAACCAGCAAGTGTCAAAAAAGAGGGGGGGGGGGGTACCCTTAATTTGACAGATAGTACGCACTAGTCATGTCTATTCATTAGTAGAAAACGAGGAAACGACAGGTATGCTAATGTGCACCAGACAAGTAACATTTTCTAGATGTCAAATCGCTTTTCCTACCGAGACGATGTTTAATTAGTGAGTACTAGAATAGCTTAGTTTTCCGAGCCATCATTCTAGTACATAGAAAAAAAAGTTTGAAGAACTAGTCGTATGTTATTCACTTGGATAGTAATACATTAGTACAATCACGCAATTGACTTACCTGGTTTATCTAGATCGTAGTTTTCATGTGCATCACCACCGAGTGATGTATTTCTTGAATATGATGATGATGATGAAGCACCATGATCCGTTATGTTATCATTAGTAGGTGTTCGTTCAGAAGTCATCATCGATCCTCGACCAGAATCACCAGTTGATGCTCGAATAGGATCATTTGTCGGTGGTCGACTAGAATCAGATTTCGATTCGAGATGTCTCATAGATCGACGATTCGAATCCATCTGATATTTATCTACAAACATATTATTACTTGAATATAAAAGATTATATATATATATAATAATTTTGTTTTGTACTATTAAGATTTACGGTAAGAAAATAACAAAATAGTGAATAAGAAAATAGGTAAAAAACCCATATCATGTTCTTGAAGCAATTTTTTTCAAGATTCTTGTTGTGTTAACCAATTAGTCTAGACTTTTTTCTTTCAAAGCAAACAACGAATCTTTGTCTACATGTTTTTACTAGTAGCATATTACTCGGATCCTGATTCTATTATTACTCTTCTGTTCATCACAACAAATAAGAATAACAATCGAATTTCAACATAGTATACAGCAAAAAAAAAACAATATTAGTCACACAATAGTCTTTCTATTTACCTTCTAAATTTCAGCTTACCGATAAAGAATAGATTCAAGAATATCGATTAGAACAAAAAAAGAAGAATATGTCAATATCATTTCAATTGTCATCGATCTGACACGAAATATTGAGAAGAAAAATAAGATAACAAACGTTTGTATTCATTATCCTATCAATACAATTTACTGAGTAGTGATAGACAATGATTTTAAAAATGAGACTATTTCAGATATCATACTCTTTGATTGTTGAATATCAAAAAAGAAGATATTCATCGAGATGACCATCGAAATTAGAATAAATTATTTTATGATCATGATTGTTTCGAATGAGACAAGCAAATTCATCATTATGACGAATTTCTACTATATTCTATAATGAATAAATATATATTGTATGTGTATTTATTGCTATTCCAATCGTTGAAGAAACATTCTCAAATAGGTTTTACTTTGCTAAGATCAAGATCCTATAAAAAGATCAGTACTGTTTTAATTAATTCAAATAATAAACTTTTTATTTACCTGACTATCGATTTGAATATCAAGAAAAAATAATGACCATCATTTTTTTCATTCGACAAGAAAATTACAGAGACAAATAAAAATTGATTCATTGTTTGTCAATATTTGTATTCCAATGAATGAAATCAATTATGAACTCTTTCTTTTCGGAATGATCTATTCAATAAACAAATGTAAAGAAAATATATAAAAGAATCAATTTATATGAGAAAGTATTATAGTGATACTTTATATTTTTAATTCAATAAATTCATTTTGTTACAGATATGTATTTTACCAAGTATTGTTTATCTAAAACCAAATATTTTTTAAAGATAAAAAAAAAAAATTTCTAATTAAACTTACGTATATGATCGATTGTAATAATTCTCGCTTGATAAAATTCTGAATATCGTTTTAAATATGATACATAAAAATTGTCGATTTCGATACTTGCTGTTTTTGTTTTTTGTTGCTAGAATAATATCGACTATCGATCGATAATAAAATAAAAAGATGAAAGAAGAAAATATTCTCACTTCATATCTTGATGCATTTGTTGAAATGCAGGACCATTATCAGGTATTTGAATAAAGACACCTGATGGATGATCAACAAACAATACCACCAAAAATGAAACGATGAGAAAGAAGTTTTGTAATTGCAAGTATTTTATATGAAAAATATTGTTTATCATTAATTGATTAATAATGACGTAATTCGACTTTCAACAATATTACGAAAGAGTGCAGACCGATGACGAATTCTGATATTTACTGTATTGCTTGTCTATATGACTATTGTTTCTGTTTAAATGAACATCATTTGTAAATAATAAAATTAAATTGTTGAATATTTTATGATATTAGATCAAATTCTAAATCATTTTTAAATATTTCTTTCAAGAAAAATTTTAATTCTAGAAAAAAGATATATGATTTTTTGAAATTGACGATTGAAAAATATATTTTAATTACAATTCTACTAATATCTTTCGAACGAAATATTATCAAAATACATTTTGAATTTTGCATTCTATTTAATTTTTCTGTAGCTAATTGACCAATATTTGTTAATCACCTTCTTGAATGTTCACTTCTATCTACAAATGAATTTGTTCAAGAATAAGCTTGCGTTCAGTATGGAAGTATAAAAACACTTTCTGCTGCATAAGTAATTGAATAAAGATCGATGATGTATGATGAAGATGAGAGACAAAAATATTGTTATACAGTTTGAACTAGTTGTTCATATTTGATAATTCCTAAAATTGAATTAAATTATCATTGTTATCCCCCTAACTAACAAATCTTAAATATGAACTACCTATGCCATACATCAACAGATATATTCTAATTTGAAGATATTTATGGTGTATGTAGTGTGCATACAATTTCAAATTTCAGTAGAATTTAGTTTGCTTCTTTCGTCACAATTGGATTGAATTACATCAGAAAAAGTATGTTTTAGAAACATATTAAAAAAACAAGAAATCTTACGAAAATCAGAATGTTGGATCTATGTCGTCTCCTACTTTAAAATAATGATAATTTGGAATTTTTTCTTGAGGTTTAAAAAATAAAATCTTTGAAACATACATTTTCTTATGTAGCTCAACGAGCTTCGTCTAATCATGATGGAAAAAAGAAACTAAATGTTGATGAAATTTGAAATTATAGGCACATTATATACACTGTAAATACCATAAAATTAGAATATCACAGTGTGTACATGTTATGTAAATTGTTAGTTCACAAGTGAGAGTGAGGATTAAAGAAACAGAATAGTAGACCGGCATATATTAAGTTTTATAACAATATACCACTTTTCATAAATTATTTCAAGTGTATAGTCATAGATATTTGACGAAAAAAAGTTGTTTTTCATGTTTAATACATTTTAAATCGTGTATCATAGACAAGAACGAGACTACTGCTATCAGAATAATTTACTCACATGTAGTCTAGTAAAAAGTGACATTTCTTCTATCATTATATTATTTAAAGTAAAATTCTATGTTATTGATTATTGTAAAGATATTATTCCAACACTAATTATACAATGTTGTTATACCAAATATATCGATCGTTTTGTCAAGTATGTTCATCAAAGTGATGCACTGTGTTTCATACTAAGGCATTTATGTTAGATTGAATAAATATAGAGCACATATTTTGACACCAATTGAGTATCATTAAGTGGAAATATTTCAACATTCAATCTCAGTTTTAATGTATCAAAATTTCCTTTGGTAACTATTCAAACGTTGATGATAATAATAATGATACGTTTTCACAATGATACTGAGACGATTCGTTTCCTATTGAAAACAAAAGCTATAACACAAAACTTGAGTATTTTGCACTCTATAATTTATAAATTATTATCCATTTCTAAGAAAAATGAACTCGGCAATGCTGATAGCGATCGAACTCGAGTTTTCGCCGTTAGAAAGAGCAGGAGTGAGGGCACAAGTCTATCTGCGAATCAAAATACTTGAAAAGTTTTCTAGAGGATTCTAGGGTTTTTTTTTAGAAACTTACTGTCTGATTCGCTTGATTAGCTCTATTTTCAATTTCGATTTAGCCATATTGTAACCCAATGTCTACTTTATAAATCCCGAAATTTTTAGATGTTTTCGATCTTTCCTTAAAAATTCCGACCATTTTTACTGAATTTTCGACCCTTTCCGAGATATCTACCGAAAAATGAAATTATGGAATTTCGACCTCAAAATTCGCCCATAGATAGCTCTAATGGGCCATAGAATATCATAAAAGTTCTAGCCAAAAAGAATGATCCTTTCTTGAAATATTGGATTTTCAATTCCACTTGAAAATACCTCTAACCAAGCGAATCAGACAGTGATTTTCCAAAAACTTCTTGAAATCCTCTAGAAAACTTTTCAAGTATTTTGGTTCGCCGGTAGACTTGTGTCTTCACTCAAGCTCTTTCTAACGACGAAAACCTGAGCTCGATAGCTATCAGCGTTGCCAAGTTATTCAACAAACAACCGAGCCCATTCTTTTTTGAAATAGACAATAGTAATGTTCGTTGCAAAGATATTCATACTATTCAATTATAGTGATTACTAATTCATTTTTCCAAATACTTCCTATGTACTCTCGTTTTTTGGCAATTGCGATTGCACTGTAATCCGTAATTGCGAAAAGCTGCGACGTAGTTACGCGCAATTGTATTTTTTTCATCGTGACTACGCGTAACTGCGTCGTAGTTTGATCGTAATCGAACATACAGGTTCAAAATAATGAGAATCTTGTAGCTTAATCATGACAAATTCGATTTCAGTCATAAAAGTATCTTATTTCAGACAGAAATTTTTGATAGCAAACAAATATGTATATGAAAATACCTTTAAATTGAGATTGATTGATTGTATTAAGTTCTGTTGTGTCCATATCATGATTGGAATAGAACAGTCAAAACTCACGCCATTTTCAGCTAAAAAAAGGCTTAACTCATCTACAAAAGATATAGAAAGAAGTAGTACGATAATATAGAAATCTTTATAGACAAATTAGAAACGGATATATGATTTATTTGCATGAGTTAGGAAACAAATGTTAACGTTGTAAGAACTGAATTATATATCGATAAGATGTCGATTTCTAATCGGGGGACACAGATAAGTGTTCCAAAGATCACTAAGCTATCAGTTGCATACACAAAAAAGCCAAGAAAACATTTCAAAATGCTGCTGTCATCTCCACGTTACAAAAAAGAAAACGATATATTGCTCCATTAATCCTACCAATGACATCATTAAAAAAACAATTTTTTTTTAAATGTAAAGTTGATTATAAAAATAGTCATCATATGATATTGATTAACATTACTCATATGCATGTCTTTTTTATTTTTGTCAATAGAATGACTGTTTTTTTAAAAAAAAAACCAACTGTAGATGACGCTATTTGTCGGTATGACAAGTTTATTATTTCATCTTAATCCTGAAGAAAATATCGGAGATTATCTTTAAAAAAATCAGCCTTACAAGAGGCTTTTCTCGAATCATGATTAATAGATATGTCAAAAATGATCCTATTTCATGCCTGAATGTAATGACAGTAGAAAAAAAACAAATATTTGAATGATATTCTAAATGAATTAAT